TCATCATCATCATCATCATCATCAGCATCATCATCATCATCATCATCATCATCATCACCATCACCATCACCATCACCATCACCATCACCATCATCATCATCATCATCATCATCATGAGCATCCTCATCATCATCATCAGCAGCATCATCATCATCATCAGCATCATCATCAGCATCATCATCAGCAGCATCATCAACACCATCAGCATCACCACCATCACCACTATCATCCCCATCAGCATCAGCATCACCAACATCACCATCTTCTTCATCAACATCATCATCAGCATCGTCATCAGCATCATCACCATCATCTCAACATCATTATCATCGTCATCATCATGATCAGCAGCAACATCATCAACACCACCAGCAACATCATCATCAGCATCAGCATCAGCATCATTAACATGATCACCATGATCACCATCAGCATCGATCACATCATCATCACCAACGTCATCATCATCATCACCACCATCATCACCACTGATCACCATCATCATAATCATAAGCAGACACATCAGCATCATCATCAGCATCCGCATCATCATCAGTATCATCATCATCATCACCATCATCATCACCATCATCATCGTCGTCAACATCATCAGTATCATCAGCATCATCATCATCATGCTCATCATCATAATGGTCAACATCATAAGTATCATCATCATCAGCATGAATATCACCATTACCCTCATCATCACCATCGTTATGATCATCATCAGCATGACATCTACAATTTGCAGTGTCCCAGTGGGGGGCATGACCCAGGTGGGGGGTGGATGGTGGTCGAGCATGCTCTCTTGAAGTGGGAATATGTGTGATGGAAACTACGCTGCACAATACATGAGGTGCAAACTATGTGGTGTTAGCCACGTCGTTTAAGCTGAAAACAAGGGGCGCCCACGAGGCGCGCAAGAGGCAGCACGGGCGGCAACGTGGTGCAACCTCGGAAAAATCCACCCAGCACACGGGACGCCCACGAGGCGTCACCGGCGGCGACGTGGCGCGACCTCGGCATACCCACCCAGCGCACGGGACGCCCACGAGGCGCCCCAGGGGCGGCACGGGCGGCAACGTGGCGCAATCTCGGAACATCCCCCAAGCGCGGGGCGCTCACGAGGCGCCCACGAGGCTGCACGGGCGGCATTGTGGCGAAAATTCAGAAGTCCCAACCAATCACTCAGCAAAGAAAAAAACACCAATGTCGATCACTGTTTGGGGAATTGTCTATGTTGCCCGATGCCTGGTAAATATCGTAATATTTCGGACCCTGTCTGTCCGAATGTATAGTTCAATACGTCAGTATGTCAATGATTGAATCCTCTCCAGCATCAACATCATCGCCATCAGCACCATCAGCATCATGCTTATCACCATCATCATAACTACCAGCACCACCATCAACAGCAGAAGCATCCGCATCAGCATTATCATCAGCATTATCAGGAAACAATATCATCATTTCATTAGCATCATTACAATCACCGTGACAGTCATCATCAGTATCATCATCAGCATCATCATGATCATCATCATCATCATCCTCATCATCATCGGCATCATCATCACCATCATCAACATCATCATCGTCATCGTCATCGTCATTGTCATCGTCGTCATCGTCAAACTGAAAAACCGAATCATCACCATCACTGTCACCATCACAGTCACTGCCACTAGCACCATTATATCATCATCACCGCCACCACAACTATCTCTATCATCGTCATCCTCATCTGTATCGTCATCATTGTCAGCACCAGCATAAACATCATTATTAGCACGACATCATAATCATCATCTTCATCATCATCATCACCATCATCATGATCTTCATCATCATCAGCGTCGTCGTCGTCATCACCATCAGTATCAACAACATCATCATTATCACCACGATCACCACCACCACCACCATCCGCCTCTTCCTTTTCCTCCTCGTCCTCCCCCTGCTCATCATCCTCGCCATCTGGAAAATGGCGGGACACACTCCGACAATTGTTGCGACATCCCGCTGCAACAAATATTTAACTGGACCGTAAACATTCGCTTGGGGACCGCCTTAGCTTTGGTGGCGGACCCGAGTTCTGGCAAGCTCGAGTCTCACATATCCCCAGTCCCCCACACCATCACCACCACCACTATCATCCGCCCCCTCCCCCAGCCCCTTGAGGGGCAATGATAGGGTGGAACTCGCTCAGGGGCGACAGATCGGCGATGGCCCCCCGATATCGAATCCGCACTTTCCTGGGCGGGGTGGCCTATCGGGCCCCCCGGAGTTAGGCGATCAAGAGACGACCCCGGGTCGACGCATCCTCACCCCCCCGCCCTCCACTCCGCCCCGTCCTCCAGCCCCTCGCCCTCCCTCTCCCTCCTCCTCCACCCCTTTCCCCCTTCGGCGGTGGACAAACCTCCCTTTAGTATACCTCCATTCAATGAAAACGACCTAGGACCGAAACCGACGGACCTGGACCAGCAAAAATGACGGCCGCGGCGCCCTCTCGCGAACCGAAAACGGCCAATTCGCCAAACGACGCGTCTGGGTTGGAGGTATATCAACCTCCGACCCTTTTCTTCCTTGGGTAAGATGCGGAGCGAAACCAATAGCGCCAGTATCGGCGGGCCGCCGCCCGCCTACCCCGTCGCGATCGCAGTCAGGCAACACGCGCGACGGGCATCAAGGTGGTGCTGCTGGATAGGAGAGACGCCCAGCCACAACCGCCAGCAGTAAATCGATGGTCCTCCGCCCTCTCCCCCTTTCCCTCGCCCTCCTTCGACCTCCCCCCCCCCCCCTCCCCCCCATCCCCCTCCCGCTCCCCCTCCCCATCACCCTCCCTCCACCTCCACCCCCCTGCCCCCCCCTCCCCCTCCCACTCCACCGCCCCCTCCCTCCCTCCCCCCGTCCTCTGGCCCCTCCCCCATGCCTCTCCATCCTCCTCCGCCCCCTCCCCCTGCCCCCCCCCCCCCGTGATGGGGGGCGCCCCCCTCCCACGCAGCGCGCCTCTGGGCCGTCCCGCGCGCCCACCTCCAGGCGGGAGTCGTTCACTGCCACCCGCAGCTGCAGCGGGCGCCAAGTCGCTGGCGGGAGCGCCTTCTCTCCGCGCGCGCGCGGCGCAGCGGCCTTTCGGCGACGACGGCGGCGATGGCGGCAACGACGACGACGGCGGCAATACGACGGCGACGACGACGACGACGACGACGGCGACGACGACGGTTGCTGCGACGGTGGCGGCGGCGGCGACGACGAAGGCGAAAAAACATCACGATGTAAAATCAGCCGACCGTGTCGGCGTGCGGTCGGCGTCGTCGTCGTCGTCGTTGTGGTCGTCGTCGTCGTCGTCGTCGTCGTCCTGGTCGTTGTCGTGGTCGTGGTCGTGGTCGCAGTCGTGGTCGCAGTCTTGGTCGTGGCTGCGGTCGTGGTCGTGGTCGTGGTCGTCGTCGCGGTCGCTTCGTTTTTGCCGTCGCCGTCGCCGTCTCCGTCGCCGTCGCTGCTCCCCCATTTTCTCTGGCCCTTCCTACCAGCCCATCCAGACAAGATGCCCAGAGGAATTGCCTCGATCAGGGAAGTGGGCAGCACACAGAGGAAGGGTCCCCCAGTGGAGGCCTCTTGAAGCGTTTTGTGGGTTTCTTGGCGGTCCTGGGCGCCTCTTAGAACGTCTTGGGTGCATCGGAGAGTTTCTCGGGGCCTCTTTGGGGTCTCTTGGGGGCCTCTTAAACGGCCCCTTGGGCGCCTGTTGGGGCCTGGGACCTCCTGGGCGCCTCTTTGGGACCCTCTTGAAACGCTCTTGGGAGCGCTCTTGGAGCCCTCCTGGGCCAACTTGGAGCCATCTTGAAGCCTCGGATGGCCACCGGAAGCGAAAAGGCGAGACAGCCAAAAACACTGATTGTCCGATGGTTTTGGACGGATGTTGGCCTCTTCGGGGTCTCGTCGGCCTCTTCGGGGCCTCGTGGGGGAGTTCTTTGGCCACTTGGAGCCGTCTCGGAGCGGCCGCGGGGCCTCTTGGAGCCTCGTGGAAGCCCACCTTGAAGCATCTTGGGATCTGTGAGCCATATTGGAGGTCAGCTTGGGCTCTCCCAGGCGCTCTTGGGGTCATCTTAAGCAGTGCTCCCCCCAAAGAGGCCAAAATGTCGCCCAGGAAGCCAAAGTGCTGCCAAAATGTGACTTTGACATTCTCGCTGGGGCCTCTTGGAGCGTTTTGGGTGCCCTGGGCGTCTGCGGGCCTCTTGGGGGTCTCTTGGGAACCTCTCAGGGACATCCTGGGGGCCTCCTGGGGCCTCATCGCCACCTCTCGGGGCCCTCTTGGAGCACCCTTGGGAGCCTCGGGGGCGCTCGCGGGGCCATCTCGGAGGAGATCGATCAAAGAAGCGGGTCCACAATTACCGCTGCCCCCCCGAAAGGCCAACATGGGGCCAAAACCAAAATAAAACAAATGATTTGGGCTTCCTCGCCGAGGCCGTTTTGGACGCCCCAACCACTCGCGAAACGCCCCGTCCAGGTCCGGGGGAGGGGGGTGGGGGGAGGGGTAATCCCCTCCCAGACGGGAAAGAAGGGGGCGGAAGAGGAAACATCCTAAACCACCTACGCCCTGAAGGGCTGGTGGGATTGAACAACGTCGTTGCCCTGCGCCCCTGGCAATCGCAACGCGGGCATCAGAGAGTTCAAAGTTCGGGGGGTAATGAATCAACGCCCCAGCAACTCGCATGCGCGATGATGCGCTGGCACGTTATAGGGATCGCCCGCTCGCCCTGGCGGGTTTCCTTGGATGGGTTGGAGGAGCGCGAATCCTGAGAAACAGCCGTGTATAGCGACGCCGTGTCCGCACTGGCGGGACCTCGTTAGAGGGGTCGGAAAAGCGCGAAAACTGATAATTCGCGCTATAGCGACACCGCGATCGCTCCGAGGGGGCCTCCCTGAAGGGGCCGGAGGAGCGCGAAAACTTATATATCGCACGGTGGGGCGATCCCCCGCTCGGTCTGGCGGGGCCTCCATGGAAAGGGGGGGCACTCGGCGCGCTCGGTCAGGCGGGCGCCCTCGGAGAGCTCGCGCGCGGCGTCGCCGGCGGTCTGGAAAGCCCAGCCCCGCGTAGCGAGCTCCTGGGCGGCCGCCGCGCATTTGTCCTTCTGGAGAACCAGGTTCTCTCGGGCCCGCTCGACGCACTCGTTGACCGCCTGGGGTGCGTCGCGCGCGGCCTCGAACGCATTCTGGGCGTCCTCCACCTCGCAACTCCGCAACGTGGGCTCGAAGCGCTGGCCCACTGGCGGGCGCGCCTCGCGGGGCGCCTGGAAGCAGGCGGGGAACTTGGCGAGCGCCGAATTGACGCGGTCGAAATGCCCCCCGCAGCTCGACTTGGCCACGCCCCCGGCGCCGAGCTCGACGTCCTTCTCCGCGGCGTTCTCGCGCAGCGCGGGCCAGGAGCTCGGCGGCTGCTCGACGAGCTCGGCGAGGTCATGGTCGTCGCCGTCGAAGGCGTCGAACGCGACCTCGACCTTCTCGACGCTAAGTCGCCCACGAGATGGCGCAGACCATTTCGCAGCGGCGATTGTCCTTCTCAGCGAAGATTCCGGCGTGCTGGATGGCCTGGACTTTGCCGCTCTGGCGCGCCATGCCGACAATGGCGTTTTGGACGCTCGTGGCCCACAAAACGCTTGTGCTGTGGAGGCAGCAGCTCGTCATCCTCGGAAAGTCCGTTGCCTCGCCGCTCGTCTGGTACTGGCGCATCTCGGCGATGCTGGCTTCTCGACGGGGCGGCCCATACTTGATCAGGGTCTCGTGATGCTTGACCTGCTTGGCGAAGACCTTGCCGAACTCGGTGTTCTGGGCCTCGATCTGCACCCGTTCGGAGGTCTGGCCCATGCAGAACGCCATGCTCGGTGGCGCGCAACGGTTCGAAAGCGCGGAGGTTCGGAAGAGCCTCGGGCACCGAACAGCTGCGAAGGGGAAGCGGGGGGAGAAGGGAACGGAGGAAGCGGACGAGCCGCACGTTCATGTTGTGCAAAACTGAAATGGTGACAACCCTGTGGCGCTGACACGCGTTCGTTGCTGGGGAACGCTGATGTGGTGAGAACCCAATAACCCTGCCACACGCTCGCGACCTGGAAAAACTGAACATGCGAGAACCCCATCGCCCTGCCATACGTACGTGGCCTGGGACGCTGTAACTGTGAACCCCATGGCGGTGGCAAACGTTCGTGATTTGGGAAAGCTGAAGTAGTAGAGAATTCCATAGAAAGGCGTGCCACGCGTTCGTGACTTTGGACAACTGAAGTGGTGAGAATTCCATGGCCCTGCCACACGTTCGTGACTTGGGAAAGCTGAAATGGTGAGAATCCCGTGGCACTGCCACATGTTCGTGACTTGGGGAACTTGAAGATATGAACCTCCAATCGCCCCAGGCGCACGTCCGTGGGTGGGGAAACCTGAATTGTTGAGACCCCCGTGGCCCTGCCACGCGTTGTGACTTGAAAAATCTGAAGTGGGGAGAATCCCGTAGCCTGATTCTCGGGAGCTGAAATGGTGAGAACCCTGTGGCGCTGACACGCGTTCGTGACTCGGGAGAGCTGGAAAAGTGAGAACCCCATAGCCCTGCCACACGCTCACGATTTGGGAACAAGTGAAATTGTGTGAATATCATCGCTCTGCCATGCGTTCGTGAGTTTGGAAGGCTAAAAGTTTGATAATGCCACATCCGTGCCACACGTTTGTGATAGCGCTGCTATCAACATACGAGGATCGCAACTTCAATTCGCACTTTCCCCGGCGGTAATGAAATTCGGCCTCGCCGCCCCTTTCCCCCCATCAATTATGCCTTGGCCCGGGATAGTTACCTCTCACGTCTTGGGGGGGGGGGTCAATTTATCATCCGGGGTGCGCGGTTGAATGAGTCTAACGGAAGCTCATGCCTTTTGACCCTTTCCCCGCGGAGGGGCCGGGGTGGCTCCGAGGGGGGTCCCTGGGGGACAGGGATTGGGGATCCTGGGGGGTGGCCCCACATGTGGGACAGTGAGGGGTTCCCCCTGTGAGAGAGAACCAGCCCTGTTCCTGGCCCCGGCCCCGGCCCACCCCAGACCACGGCCCCCGCCCCGGCCGTAGCCCCCCAGTCCCAGCTGTAGCCCCGGCCCTGGCCCCGGGGTCACAGCCCCAGCCCCAGGGTCCTGGGGGAGGGGCCCGGGGTCCTGGAGACGACACGACGACGACGACGACGACGACGACGACGACGACGACGACAAAGGCACAGCGGCGGCGACACCGCGGCGGCGGCGGCGGCGGCGGCGACGTCCGAGTAGGGATGCCAGTGAAGAGGAAGCACGTCTCCCCATGCCGGGGCGGCGGCGACGGCACAGGAGTGGTCTGCATCTCGTTGGCAGATCGGAGCGGAGCGCGCACCGAATCTGGAAACACTGGCACGGGGTCGAAGTCGGAACCGGATCGGCCTGGCAAGAAGCACAGCGGCGCCACGCGAGCGTCCACATACAGTGGTCGAAATATCGAGATCGAATCGGGCCGGGCCGGCCCACAACGAGATCAAATCGGCTCGATGAGATCGTGACGGGCCCTGCGCTTACCCTCCACCTCGAGCGCCACAGCCGCCACTGCCGCCGTCGCCGTCGCCGCCGCCGTCGTCGCCGCTGTCGTCGTCACCGTTGCCGTCGCTACCGCCGCCCATGCACGGAGAGACGAGCCAGCTACCGCCACCGCCGTAAGTCGTCATCGCCGTCGCCGAAGCCGTCCCCCGGGCGAGAGGAATGCCGTCGCCCCGTGCCTGCGGGCCAAGGTGCGTGGGCGGATCGTGGGGGAGTGGCTGCGCCGGCCGAGAGGGGGCCAGCGAGAGGAGACGGAGATGGGGGGAGAACAAAGAGAAGGGGGAGGAGGAAGAGGAGGGCAGAGACGGAGGAGGCGGAGCAGCAGCAGCAGCAGCAGGGCAAGGGTGGGAGTAGGGCGGAGGAGCGAGGACGACGTTGGAAGCGTGAGGACGAGGATGGAAGGGGGGGAAGGTTGGGAGGGATCTATCTCATCATCCTCTTCCCCGTCAGAGCCTGGACAAGTCTCTACCTCCTCCTCTACCTCCTCCTCCACATCCTCCATGTCATCCTCCTCATCCTCAACCTTTCATCCTTATCCTTCCCCTCCTCTTTTTCCTCCTCGTCCTCCTCCTTATATCCCCCATGGGTCTCTCTTCCGAACTTGGACTGGGGAGGGACCACCATTAATCAAGATCACGGCAACATGATGGTCATGACTTCGTCAGCATCAGCATCGTCAAGGTCCTCACGATCGTGCTCCATCATCTCTCTCTCTTCGCTCTTTCTCTCTCTCTCTCTCATCTTTCCGCGCTCGCCTCCTCCTTCCCCAGCCCCTCCCCCCCTAGCCCGAAGCCCTTTCCTCACCCCTCCCGTGTCGCTCGTCCACCATGTCGTTATCGTCCTCCTCTTCATGGTTTCCCTTTCCTTTCCTTGCATATCCTTATCATGTTCGACCCCCCATCTCCCCCCTCGTCCTCCACTTGAGCTACTAACATCATGTGTCCCAACAGCATCCACTCCCGGGATTCATCCTCATCCTCTTCATCATCATCACCACCACCACCACCATCATCATCATCATCAGCATCATCATCATCATCATCATCATCATCATCATCATCATCATCACCACCATCATCACAATCACCATCATCATCATCATCATCAACATCATCATCATCATCATCATCATCATCATCATCATCATCATCATCATCATCATCATCATCATCATTATCATCGTCATCGTCATCGTCAGTATATCATGCGACCACCACAATCATCATCACCATCATCAGCAGCATCAGCATCGATATCATCATCATCATCAGCGTCATCATCATCATCATCATCATCATCATCATCATCATCAATCAGCATCATCAGCATAGGTATAGTCACCAGCGTCACCATCATTATCATCATAACCAATATCGCCATTGCTATCACCATCATCAGCATCATCAGCGCAATCATCAGCATCATCATCACACGCAGCATTAGCATCACCATCACCATCATCATCATCAGCATTATCACCAGCAGCATCATCCGCTTCATCATCAGCGTCATTATGATCACCATTGTCAGCATTACCATCATCATGAACAGCGTCATCATCACCATCGTCATCAGCATCATCATCATCATAATCAGCATCGTACTCATCATCATCAACAACAGCATCATCAGCAGCATCATCCGCATCATTACTAGCAGAAACAGAATCCTCATGATCAGCAGCATCATCAGCACCATCATCATCAGCATCGGCATCATCATCGTCATCGTCAGCGTCAACATCATCAACAGCATTATCATCAGCATCATCATCCCCACCGTCATCACCAGCATCTTCATCATCATGGTCGTCGTCGTCATCGTCACCATCGTCATCATCATCAGCATCGTCGCCAGCGTCATCATCATCTTTCTGAACAACAGCATCACGAACAACATCGCCATCACTATCACCATCGATGTTCCGAGTCCTCACAGTCCTCGCCCTCATCCTCATATAAACCACATCGTCAACTTCGTCATGGTCATCCTCCTCACCAGCAAGAAGATATTCATGATCGGACAGCTATCGGGCTGTAGCTCTAGGCCGTCTCAGCTGAGGTTGCTCATCATCATCATCATCATCATCATCATCATCATCATCATCACCATCATCAGCATCATCATCAGCATCATCATCATCTCAATCATCTCCATCATCAACACCAGCAGCATCGTCATAATCGCTGGCAACAGAGCATTAATCAGCATCATCTGCAGCGGCATCATCATGAGCATGGCCATCACCATCTTCATCATCGTCATCATCATCAGCAGCATCAGCATCATCAGCAGCATCAGCATCAGCATTACCATAATCCACATCAGCAGCATCGTCATCATCAAGATAATCACCATCAGCAGTATCATCACCATCAGCATCATCAATATCAACACCAGTATCATCAGAATTAGCCTCAACATCATCGTCATAATCATCGTCATCAGCATCAGCATCCTCATCAGTATCCCCATCGTCGCCAACATCATAACCCTCATCACCACATACATCACAATCACCATTATCGTCACCACTGTCATCGTCGTCATTGTTGTCACCATTGTCATCACACACACATCACCATTATCAACATCGCCATCATTCTCATTATCACCACCACCATCATCATCATCATCAGCATCATCATCAGCATCATCATCATCACTCCCATCATCCCTTACCATTACCATTAGCAGCGTTAGCATCCTCGTCACCAACATCATCGCCACCTCACGATTACCATCATGATCTCAGCAGCATCATCCTCATCGAAATGATCATCCTCGTCCTTCCCAGAAGGGGCCTCGCCGGACGTGTCCAGGATCGTGACTAACAGGCGGTAGGGCTGGCCGCGCACGACCATCGGCGCGTCCATCCTCTCCACGGTGGGGGCTAACAGCCGTGAGAAAACACGGACATGCCCCAATGTAGCTGTTCAAGGAATGGCGACGAGGGGGAGGAGGATGCGGAGGAGGAGGGCAGGCAGGAGGTGAGCAAGAATAGAAACAGGAGCGCTGGTCCAGAAGCAGGACCAGGAGAGGCTGAGGGTCAGTCACGGCCACGACGGCACTAAAGGGCTTCAAGCCGACGTTCGACGAGGAACGAGAGGCGGAGTGGACGCAGGTGCCCCTCTCCACCCCCCTCAAGATCCGCCCCCGTGCCCCTGCGGCACGAATTGGGGTGTCCCCAGGTCCCTTGCTCAACCCCTGAGTCCTAAATCCGGAAGATTCTTTGAGGGGCCCGGGCCCCAAATTTCCGGATTTCTGGGAGCCACGGAGGCCTCAAGACGGGCCAAGAGACCCCATAGAGCTCGCCCAAACGGTCCAAGAGTAGATGCACGTGCCCTTCCCCACCACTCTCCAAATAGATACCTTTCATGGCCACTCAAGCGCTGTGGCCGGGGAGAAAGCCGGATGGAGTGAGGAGAACCAGAGCAAGCCCCGGATGCACAAAACGGTGGTGCAGCACACCCTCCCGTCCCAGAAGTCAACGCAAGCACTCATGGTTCCTCTCGCTACGGCAAGCGCCCTCTGAAAGACGAGCGACCCATGGTCCTGCCGTCCAGGCGAGAGCCCAATTTTGAAAAGCAACCGCCCTGCAGCCTTCGAGCTAAAAGAACGCAAACAAGAATACGTAGCAACCCGCAGTCGCGGATAAGAGAGACGGAACGGGCGCGGGAGGGTCGCGGCTGTCGCGGGTGGGTCGCGGGGTGGATCGCGGGTGGGTCGCGGGCCCGGTCGTGGGTGAAGGGCGGGTGGGTCGCGCGCGGGTCGCGCGTGCGTCGTAGGTGGGTTGTGGGTGGGTGGCAGATGGGTCGCGGATGGGTCGCACCGTGGGTCGCGTGCGGGCGCGGGCGGGTTGTAGGGTGGGTCGCGGGTGGGTCGCGAATTGGGTCGCGGGTTGGTCGCGTGTGCGTCGCGGGTGCGTCACGGGTGAGTCGCGGGCCGGGTCGCGGGCGGGACGACGACAACAAACAACAAACAACAAACAATAAACAACAAAACACAAACACTAATCGTCAGCCAACAAACAACAGGCAACAGCCAACAAACAACAAACACCCACCACCACCAACAACAACAACGATAACAAGAACAAGAACAGGAACAACAACAATCCGCAACGCGGAAGCCGACTTCAACCACGCAACCAGGGACACTAAATGACCGTTCGCCCCCCCTCACTCTGATGGACATTAAGGTCAGGAAAGTGTCTAGCTAAAGCCCCGAGTTGAAAATGGAACACCTTCCATCGGGGCGACTATCGCACTCTATTGCAATTCTGGTGTCCGTATTTGATGAAATCTTAAACGAATACCCATCATTCCAATGAATGAATTATTGGATGCTTAAGGCGAGTGTGCGCCGCGCTAGAAAGCGAGTGACGAATGTCGAAAAGGGCCCGCCTGAGACGAGTGCGCGCGGCGCAGAAGAGATAACGACATGCAGCAATCACCCGCACTCCATCCTTGCACCTGTTTGACACGTCGTCTACGACGAATGCGCGCGGTGCTAACGCGAGAGACACAGTTATACATGACCAGATAAACATCGTCGTGCGTGCTGGACGCTTTTTTCGTGCGCGGCGCTGCAACAACCAGATTTGGAAAACCAGCCCGGCCCGCCCGTCTGGTGGCGCAACGGGGAGGGGTGACCAAAAACGAGGACGAAACCGAGGGGAAAGAGGAGATGCGGGGCAGAAATGAGAGGCGGTGAAATGACGGAGGATATGGACCCCAACCCCCGACTTTGTGGGGAGTTCGGCTGGACCAGATGCTGTTGGCCAAACCGAGGATACAACGGAGGGCGTCCATACTCCATAGGGGTGCGTCCAACCAGACTCCCCGAGTCTCCCCTTCTTCTCGAGCGGCCTGATTTCGGTTGGAGATCGGGGACTGGGGGCTAAGGCTCAGCTGCGAGGAGAGAAGAGGAGAACCGAGGTAGGTGGGAAGGTCGGGTTGGCCGAAAGGGGGGCGGTGAAAGGGGGATCCGCGAATCAGCTCACGTAGCTGATTTTCAAGGCGCCTCCCGGCGCCAGAGGCGCAAACGTACAGAGAGAAGGCGCCCGACGGCGTGGACGAAGCCGGCTGCACGCAGCAGTTTCATCCCCACTCCCCCTCTTTCCACATCCTCCCCTGCGGTCCGACCCGGGAAGGTGGGACGAGGGTGAGCGGAGAGCGGTGAACGGTGCCCGCGAGGGTCCACGCGAGGGGGGCTAAGCGCGGCGGGGCCGGAGCGCCGAGAAACACGCAATGGAATACAGTATGACGGGACAAAGGGCTAGCACTAGGTCGGGCATGTCCCCCATACAGGGGGATTTTGGGCGAAAACAAATGTCAAAAAAACAGAAAAAAAAACAACCACCAAAAAATTAGACAAAAATCGTCCTCGGACTATTTTTTTACTACTTTTGAATACTCCTCCTGTAGAGGGACAGTCGTTTAGACAGTGGGGCGAGAGTGCGGAAAGGGGGCGGCGGCGACGAAGACGAGACTGGAGAGGGGCCCGCTCCTCCCGGATGCGTCTGTCAGCTGCAGCACGATCCGGCCTACGGGCAAGAAGCTGAGGTCGAGCACCTGCATGGGGAGGAGGGCGGCAGGCAAGCCAGCAGAAGAAGAGGAGGGGCGGGAGGGGGACGACAGAAGAGGGAGCTCGAGAAGGTTCATGAGGAGGAGGAGGAGGAGGAGAAGGAGGAGGAGGAGGAGGAGAAGGAGGTGAAGGAACGGCAGCGTGCGGAGCGCCCTCATGCTAGCAGGAACAAGGAAACAGGAGGAGGAGGAGATCGTCCAACTTCGGACTCCGGGGGGGACGAGAAGGACGAGGAAGAGGAGTACGAGGAGGAGTAGGAGTAGGAGGAGGAGTAGGAGTGGTAGTAGTAGTAGTAGTAGTAGTAGTAGTAGTAGTAGTAGTAGTAGTAGTAGTAGAAGTAGTAGTAGTAGAAGAAGAAGAAGTAGTAGAAGTAGTAGTAGTAGTAGTAGTAGTAGTAGTGGTAAAGGTAGTAGTAGTAAAGGTGGTAGTAGTAGTAGTAGTAGTAGTAGTAGTAGTAGTAGTAGTAGTACTAGTAGTAGTAGTAGTAGTAGTAGTAGGTCGTAGTAGTCGTAGGTCGTAGTAGTAGTAGTAGTAGTAGTAGTCGTAGTAGTCGTAGTGTAGTAGTAGTAGTAGTAGTAGTAGTAGTAGAAGTAGTAGTAGAAGTAATAGTTGTAGTAGTAATCATAGTAGTAGTGGTAGTAGTAGTAGTAGTAGTAGTAGTAGTAGTCGTAGTAGTAGTAGTAGTAGTAGTAGTAGTGTAGTAGTAGTAGTAGTGGTAGTGGTAGTAGTAGTAGTAGTAGTAGTAGTAGTAGTAGTAGAAGTAATAGTAGTAGTAGTAGTACGGCAGGTTCGTGTCGTGTCGACCCCGGCGTTGGTTTTTGACACCGCGGGGATCATTCAACCTTGAACGATCGGCCGTTTCCGCAACGTCCAATCGTTCAACATCGATCGATTCTGGGCCGCCGGCGGCGTTCAACCTTGAACGCCCGCGCTGGGGTCGCCGCTGGTCGACACGACGCAAACCTACCGTAATCATAGTAGTAGTGGTAGTAGTAGTAGTAGTAGTAGTGGTAGTAGTAGTAGTAGTAGTAGTAGTCGTGGTAGTAGTAGTAGTAGTAGTAGTAGTAGTAGTAGTCGTAAGAGTAGTAGTAGTAGTAGTAATAGTAGTAGGAGTAGTAGTAGTAGTAGTCGTGGTAGTAGTAGTAGTAGTCGTAGTAGTAGTAGTAGTAGTAGTAGTAGTAGTAGTAGTAGTAGTAGTAGTAGTAGTAGTAGTAGTAGTAGTCGTAGTAGTAGTATAGAGTAGTAGTAGTAGTAGTAGTCGTCGTAGTAAAGGTAGTAGTAGTAGTAGTAGTAGTAGTCGTCGTCGTCGTCGTCGTCGTCGTCGTCGTCGTCGTCGTCGTCGTCGTCGTAGTAGTAGTAGTAGTAGTGGTAGTAGTGGTAGTAGTAGTAGTAGTAGTAGCAGCAGCAGCAGCAGCAGGAGTAGTAGTAGTAGTAGTTAGTAGTAGTAGTAGTAGTAGTAGTAGTAGTAGTAGTAGTAGTAGTAGTAGTAGTAGTAGTAGTAGTAGTAGTAGTAGTAGTAGTAGTAGTAGTAGTAGTAGTAGTAGTAGTAGTAGTAGTAGTGTAGTAGTAGTAGTAGTAGTAGTAGTAGTAGTAGTAGTAGTAGTAGTAGTAGTAGTAGTAGTAGTAGTAGTAGTAGTAGTAGTAGTAGTAGGTGGGGGTAGTAGTAGTAGTAGTAGTAGTAGTAGTAGGAGGAGGAGGAGGAGGAGGAGGAGGAGGAGGAGGAGGGAGGTGGACAGGGCGACAAGAGAAGAGAAGGAACAGGGACAGGGCCCCGAAGGATGTTGCTCACATCGATTTCCAGAGGAACCTCTGGGATCACGTTGCAAAGATGGCACACTGCGTTTTGGGTGCTTTGACCCGCTGCAAGGAAGCTCTTCGGCGGTCTTGCCAGAGATCTCAAGGTCTCCAGGCCGAGTTGCTTCATAGCGTAGACAAGCGCGTTGCGACAAAAGCTGGACCATCACTGGGCGACCCTCGATCACCTCGCCATCGCTCGGACGTCCATTCCCCGTGCATGTTTCGATCGATGGTCCAGGATGCTCCTCGATGGTCCTCACCGGGCAACGTGCACACGCCCGAGCGATGCCAAGTCACTCTGCACTGGCTCTGACGTTAATGCCGAAGAGGAAACGCCGTGCGCTTGCCCACCCTCGCTCTCGAGACCTGTACCGAGTGGCTGTGGGCGCGCGCGCCGCACAACCGAACAGCCGGACCGAAGTATAAGATCGAGGTCGGTTCGGGAAGGTTAACCTGACCTGATGAGTTTCGTCCTTGTTGGATGCTGTTGTGCATCCGGGGAAGGGTTCCCTTAAATGTTATGTGTGTTTTGGCGGGCGAAGGGTCCCATGTTCTTGACGGATGCGTTTCTGTCCTACAAAAGGGGACCGACCACAAGAAGCCGTCCTCTGGTTTTTCTGGTGTGGGAACGCCCCGCTCTCCGCAGCAAAACCATCGAACCCCAAAAAGCCCATTGCACCCTGGAGTGCACGGATTCCCCCAGGGCCGTAGGCGACCCGAGAAGGAGGAGGAGAAGGAGGACGAGGAGGAGGTGGAGGGGGAGGAGAAAATGGAGGAGGAGGAGGAAGTGGCGGAAGAGGAAGAGGAGGAGCGAGGAGGAGGACGAGGAGGAGGAGCAAAGCAAGGCATGGCAACTCTGGAGTGCTATCGCATGTGCCTACGACCATAATGTGTGAGGAAAAATTAGCACCTGAGTGGCATCAGCGATGCAGCTTCCCACAACGGTTGGTGCCGCATGTGGAACCCACACGGGCCTCGACCCGCCCTGAAACTGGGAAGTGCCATTGAGGGGGACGATGGCACCGCCACTCTCTCGCAGTTAAACTCCGCTGGCATTCGACCTGGGGCGTTTTTTTTACACATGCTGCGTTCGGACCTTGGGCACAAAAAGAATCCTCCCGGGTCCTGAGACACCCCGTATTTGTTGCTAATAACGGAAATCGGAAAGTGAAAAGTCCTGAGGAGCGGGGGCGGAGGGAGGGCAAGCATCAGCAACCGCAGAACTCGAGGACGAGGGAAGGTGGGGAAGAGCTCTCCGCGCTCAGCTGGGGCCCTGAAACGGGCTGGAATTTTGAAAACGGCTGGCAGAACTATGCACCTCTCTCTAGGCGCGCTGGTCGCCGCGGGAGCAAGAGGAAATCGAGGAACTTCGCCTCCCGCGGGAGTGGCACACGACGACGATGGAGCAGCACCTCTCGGTCCAGTCCCCGCTCGACCGGCACTCGGTGACACCGTGCTCGGGCCAGTCAGACCAGTCCCCGCTCGACTGACACTTGATGGCGCCATGCTGCTCAAAACTGACTGCACCCACGCCGTGAGCTGCTCCAAAATCTTGGACGCATCTCTCCCCAAGGCTCCACGAGGCGCTGGCCCGTGCTTCCTTTGCCCCACTTTGCTGGAGTACGAGATCAGCGCCGACTCCAGCTCGCCGTAGCGGTGGTCCACGCCGAAGGTCAGGCGCAGCTTCTCCCACTTCGCCTCCTGCTTGCGCGTCGTGCGCGCGCGACAATGACGTACCTGATCGGCCAACTCGGCCACCTGCACCTTCAGCGCCACCCCGCCCCAGCACGTCTCCAGGATCTGCTTCGCGCCGATGTCCGCCTGCGGGTCCGCGCCCAAAGCCTTGATGAGGGCCGCCCAGACGTGGACGAACGGTGGGCCCAGCGACTCCTTCTCGGTGCCCGCCTCCTTCTTCTTCTGGATCTCCTGGTGGCAGAGCGCCCCCGCCGCCTTCGCCGCTGCGACCGCGACCTGCTCGGCCGCGACCAGTTAGGTAACGAACGCCACTCCACATGCGTCTCGAAGTTCTGCCGCATTGGACAAGCTCAACTTTGTGAGCACGATGGCGAGGTTCTTTCGCAAGTCTCCACCTATCGATTTTGCCTGCTCGGCCAGCCAGCTCAGCTTCCGCTTCTTGCCCTCTTGGCCGCCGACCACGGCCGCCGAGGCGTTGGCCGCCCAGTCGGGGGGGGGGGGGCGCCCACGGCCGAGCCCAGGTCGCGAACGAATCGCTCTGAGAGGCCCAGGGAGAACAGACGCAGCTGTAGCTGAGCAAAATTGCCACCGACAAAGTCACATAGAGAAAAGTCAAGCAGAGCAGGAGGCACAGCATAACAAAGATGACGAACGGCAGGAACTTTACATAATCCCCTCGCGATACCCACGTCGAGCGATGATGCGAGCGTGAACTCCCCGCTCGCCCGGTAAGAAAGCCCCGCGCACCGCCCCGTCAGCATGAAAAAAAAACAGCATCGATACACACCGCCCCGAGCAAAGACACACGGAGGGTCATGAGCGGCAGCAGGAGCATCCCATCCAGAGAGGGGGAAGGGGGGCTCTTCCCAACAGAAACTGACTCCGTGACTGTCGCACATCGGGCCCCCACGGGCCCTGCCCGAGCCCGAGGTGTACTCTTTGGCCCTATCGAGCCGCGATTGTACAGTGGACGTCAGGGCGGCAAGCTCTGGGGAGTGCTGGAGGTCCTCCCACTTCTCCCACTCGCCGCTGCACCACTTCAGCTGCAGCGTGTAGTCGCGCACCTCCGCCGTGACGATGTCTTCGCCCGCCACCTTCAGCACGTGGTTCTGGGTGTCAACCTCGACCTCCTTCTTGCCGTAGCCCCACTGGAGCAACAGACGCTTGAAGGCGAAGAGCGCTGACTCCACCGTGCGGGGACCCAGGGGCAGGTCAAGTTTTGCCCAAGGCTGTTCTGAGGCCCCCTGGGGAGACTGCCGAATGATGGAAATAAGCGACTCCCGATACGCAATAGAAGGGCACTTGACAAATGCCACTTTCTTGAACTCCTGCCCCTTGAAGAATGGGTCCGGGGGGGCGGGGACGCCCGTGTCCTTGCACCGCTTGTGCAACCATTCCTTGACCTTGTCGATGGTGTCGGCGTTGGGGACGTTGCCGAAGACCACCGTCAGGTTCTCGTTCTGAGCCTGCTGCGCTGCCGTGCTGGTGTTGCTGA